CAAATAGTATTATATAAGTTTAGATATTATTAGACTTACAGAGCTTGGCAAGTGATTAGGATCCATCCCTCTGAGCTGATGAGATATAGCTGGAGCACCCATTTGAACCTGTGGTACTGCTGGATACTGAGGTTCCCTGGGAGGTTGTTGAAGAGATTGTGTATAAGGAAATGGAGACTGTACCCCTGATACTGGTGGGAGTGGACCACCAGATATTGGGCCATTTACCTGATTGTTGGGTGAGAAAGAATTCATTGACTGGTTAACTTTTGGAGGTCCAACATTAGAAAACTGGTGTGGAAGAGGAGGTAAACTTGCAGATGAAGGAACACTTGCATTCAAATGCTCAGGATACTGTGCAATTTTAGAATAAGAAGGAGGGCCATAAGAAGACACTGAGTCTGTTTGTGAAACATAATGTCTTTGTGGTTGACCATAGTGATCTGAAGAAGTATGGGGAAAAGGAAGTCTGCCACCTGGTAGCATTTGTTGGGATAGTGATGGAGCAGGCAATTTCTTCAGTGGGCCTGGTAGGCCAGGAGAAAAGGATTCTCCAACTCCTGATCTTTGCAAAGAATCTGTTGGATGTGGTGTTGAATATCTAGTTAATGGTGAATACTGGGGGCCTGCTGGCTCAATGTGTAATTCTTCATTGTGCTGAGTCAACTGAGGAGCAAAACATTTTAGTGAGGTAGTAATCTAAAGAAGTTAAATCATGTCTTAAATGTGTTTTAAAAACAAATTCAAACAAATGAAATGGGTTAACACTTGATTTACACATTTGAAAGTTGAAAACATATAACCAACTAAAATGGATAGAAATACTTAAGTATACATCTCTAATGATTACAAGATAAAAAAGTCATTAAATACTAAAATATATAGATAAACACAAAATCAAGAACTTCTAAGTTATATAAAAACTAGGTAAACATTTAAAAATGTAAAACAAATTCTGACTTAGATATAAAAAGCAATGTATAAACAATATATATTCATTTTTTATCATCAGAAGTAGTAAATTTTAAAAACAGGTTTTAATATTTTTAGGATTAGAAATAATTTAAATAAATGCTGGCCCCACCCCTATCTCTTTTCTCTCTCTCTCTCTCTCTCTCTATATATATATATATATATATATATATAATCTTCTTTCTACTATACTACTATCTCTCCATACCTA